TGAACAAATTAAAACAGAAATCAAGCAATACATGGAGACAAATGAAAACAAAAATTTAACAATCTAAAATTTGTGGAATGCCACAAAGGCAGTTCTAAAGGTGAAGTACACAGCAAATCAGATCTACCTCAAGAAACAAGAGTAATCCCCAACAGTCTAAACTCACAATTAAATAAACTAGAAAACGAAGAAAAAATGAAACCCAAAGTTAGTAGGAGAGACATTTTAAGAAAAACCAGAGCAGAAATTATATAATAATATAGAGAAGAATAAACAATAGAAAAAAAAAATCAATGAAACCAAGAGCTGGTTCTTTGAGAAAAATAAACAAAATAGATAAACCCATAGCTGGACTTATCAAGGAAAAAGAGAACAGTACAACATAAAATTAGAAACAAAAAAGGAATACTCATGGATAGCACAAAATACAAAGAATTATTAGAGAATACTATGAAAAATTACACACTATATTGGACAATCTAGAGGATATGTACAAATTCATAGAAAAATACAACCTTCTAAGATAGATCCAGGAAGAACAGAAAATCTGAACAGACCATGTACCAGCAGTGAAACTGAACTGGTTATCAAAAAACTCCCAAAAAACAAAAGTCCAGGAACAGATAGCTTCACAGCTGAACTCTACCAAACATTTTAAAGAAGAGCTAATATCCATACTTCTTAAGGTATTCTAAAAGTAAAAGAGGAGGGAATACTTCCGAACACATTCTATGAAGCCAGCACCACTCTATTACCAAAAACCATACAAAGAACACTACAAAAATATTACAGACCAATATCCCTGATGAACACAGATGCAAAAATACTCAATATAAGTAAACCAAATTCAAAAACACATCAACAGGATCATCCACACAAACAAGTAGAATTTATTCCAGGGATGCAAGGATAGTTAATATTCATAAATCAATCAATATCATACACCACATTAACAAAAAGGATAGAAATCACATGATCATCTCAATAGATGGTGAAAAGCATTTGACAAAATTCAACATCCCTTCATGATCAAAATTCAACAAAATAGGAATAGAGGGTACATACCTCAACATAATAAAGGCCATATATGACAAACCCACAGCTACCATTATACTCAATGGTGAAAAGTTGAAAGCTTTTCCTCTAAGATCAGGAACAAGACAAGGATGCCCACTCTCCCCACTTTTATTCAACATAGTACTGGAGGTCCTAGCCACAGTAATCAGACAACACAAAGAAATAAAAGGCATTCAAATTGGTAAGGAGAAGTTAAATTGTCCATATTTGCAGATGACATGATATTATACACAAAAAACCTTAAAGTCTCCACCAAAAAACTATTAGAACTAATAACTGGATTCAGCAAAGTTGCAAGATACAAAAATAATACACAGAAATCTGTTGTGGTTCTATATATTAAAAACGAACTAGCAGAAAGAGAAATCATAAAAACAACACCATTTACAACTGTATCAAAGAGAATAAAATACCTAGGGATAAACCTAATCAAAGAGGTGAAAGATCTTTACTCTGAAAACTGTAAGACACCCACTCATGAGAGGTATTAAAGAAGATACAAATAATGGAAATCTATCCTGTGCTCATGGATAGGAAGAATTAATTTTGTCAAAATAGCCACCCTCTCTGAAGCAATCTACAGATTCAATGCAATCCCTACCAAAAGACCAACAACATTTTTCAATGAACTAGAACAAATAGTTCTAAAGTTCATATGGAATCACAAAAGACCTTGAATAGCCAAAGAAATCCTGATAAAGAACAAAACTGGGGATTTACACTCCCTGACTTCAAAGTATACTACAAAGCTACAGTAATCAAAACAGCATGGTACTGGCACAAGAACAGACCCAGTGATCAATGGAACAGAATAGACGGCCCAGATATAAACCCATGCATAAATGGTCAATTAATATATGATAAAGGAACCATGACTATTCAGTGTGGAAAAGACAGCCTCTTCAACAACTGGTGGTGGGAAAACTGTACAGCTACATGTAAGAGAATGAAACTGGATTACTGCCTTAACTCCATACACAGGATCAAAGACCCAAATGTAAGACATGAAACCATAAAATTCTCATAACAGGCAAAAATATTTTAAACATAAGTATGTGCACTCTTTTCCTGGACACATCTCCTCAGGCAAGGAAACAAAAAATGAACAAGTGGGACTATGTCAAACTAAAAACTTCTATGCAGCAAAGGACACCATCAGTAGAACAAAAAGGCAACCTACAGTATGGGAGAATATATTTGTAAATTCACATCTCCTCAGGCAAGGAAACAAAAAATGAACAAGTGGGACTATGTCAAACTAAAAACTTCTATGCAGCAAAGGACACCATCAGTAGAACAAAAAGGCAACCTACAGTATGGGAGAATATATTTGTAAATCATTTATATGATAAGGGGTTAATAACCAGAATATATAAAGAACTCATACATCTCAACACCCCCCAAAAAAAAACCCGATTAAAAAATGGGCAGAGGACCTGAACAGGTATTTCTCCAAAGAAGAAAGAAAGACGGATAAAAGGCACATGAAAAGATGCTCCACATCGCTAATGATCAGGGAAATGTAAATCAAAACCACAAGAGATATCATCTCACACCAGTCAGAATAGTCACTATACAAATGACAAGAAATAATAACTGCTGGCGAGGATGTGGACAAAAGGGAACCCTCCTACACTGTTGGTGGGAATGTCAATTGGTACAACCACTGTGGAATGCAGTATGGAAGTTCCTCAAAAAACTAAAAGTAGAAATATCATATTACCTAGTAATTCCACTTTCTGGAATTTACCTAAAGAAAACAAAATCCCTAATTAGAAAAGATACATGCCCCTATGTTTATAGCTGCATTATTCACAACAGCCAAGATATGGAAACAAGCTAAACATCCATCAATAGATGAAAGGATAAAGAAGATGTGATACATATATACAATGGAATATTATTCAGCCATAAAAAGAAAACAAATCCTGCCAGTTGGAACAACAAGGATGCATCTAGAGGGTATTATGCTCAGTGAAGTAAGCCAGATGAAGAAAGACAAATACCATATGATTTCACTTATGTGTGGAAGATATATGTATATAAAAACAAAGCAAAAAGAATGAACAAAACAGCCATAGACTCATAGACATTGAGAAGTGACTAGTGGTTACCATGGGGGAGGGTTTGGGGTGGTGGGTGGGATGTGTGAGGGGGATAAAGAGGCACAAAAATTCTCAATCATAATATACATTGTTCATGGGGATAGTAGTAGTCTGGAGAATATAGTAACATCTTCCCTTGCTGACAGATAGTAACCATACTAGTGGGGGTGAGGATTTAATAATACAGATAACTGTTAAACCGCTGTGCTGTATATTTGAAACCAATATAAGACTGTATATCAAAAATACTTCATTAAAAGAGAAAAAAAATGACATATTTTCTATGGGTCAGAAAAAAATTCCTAACTTGAGCTAAGAAATTACCAATTTGTTTGATCAGTAAATAACCACAATGTGTTCTCAAAGATGGGTATATATGATGAATAGTTTCTCTTACATAAAACTGTGATTTCACTTAATACTGTGTATTAGGGTATATATGCTGAATAGTTTCCCTTACATAAAACTGTGATTTCACTTAAAACTGTGTATTAAGACAAGAGTCTGAGCCAGATGGCAGAAGCCAAATACAATTACACTCATCACATACCTACCCATTGGGAAAAGATTAAAAAGGCTATTGATTATATTTGACCAAAAATGTTTTAACAGATCTACATGGCTACTTGATAATTAGCCATTTATCAAAGCATTTATGAAGAGACATATATGCCAGGCATTGCATCATATTATGCTAGGCACTGGGGATAGAGAAATCAACGTTATGCTCTTGAGAGACAGGTCTGGTAGGGAGAGAGCAGGAATATGTTTGCAAAATGTCATAATGTACTGGAAATTACATCTATAGAATGTTTATCCTATCATCTCAAGTTTCTAAATGTGAATTGGTCCATTTCACCTAAGTTGTCAAATTTATAGAAAGTTATTCACAGTATTCATTCCTTTATTGTACTAATGATGTCTGCAGAGTCTGCAGTGATAGCCCCTGATCATTCTTGCTATTGTTAATTTATGTCTTGTCTTTTTTTGTCAATCATGTAAGAGTTGTCAATTTTATTGATCTTTTTAAAAAACCAGCACTTTGTTTCATTCATATCCTCTAGTTTTTCTGTTGTCAATTTCACAGATGTCTGCTCTTACCTTTATTATTTCCTTCTTTCTGCTTGTTTTGGTTTTATTTTGCTATTTTCTATTCTTTTTCTAGGTTCTTAGAATGAGAATTTATATTGTTGATTTGAGACTTTTCCTTTTTTCTAATTATGAATATTTAGGGCTATAAATTTCCCTCTGAAATTAAATTAAATTTAAATTAGTCAAGAAAAATAATAAAACCTGGTCACAAATTTGGAAGTAAGTAGAAGAAATTTTAAAGATTACCAAGTAGGAAATAGAACAAATTATTAAGAAAATTCCCCAAGATACAGAAAATACTGAAACCCAGTTGAATGACAAAGATAATGTTACTAAAACAATTCCTCAAAACAAAATGACTTGAACTGAAGGACTTCAAGTAAAGGACCATAAAGTCAACCACATATAAGAAGGGAAAACCCTACAAACAGAACACAACCCACCAAATTTGCATTACAAATACTGCAGGACAATGTAATGTAGCCAGTAATGTAGGCAATGTAGGGGACAAAGCTTCTGAATCTCATTTTCCCAGTTGGTACTCTTAGATGAGCTTTACCACTCCTATTTCACAGATTCTTAAATGCTGCCCAACAGGTGCTGAGTGACAGCTGTGCATGTGAAATGTAAGTGTAGAGCTGTAATGATATTATTTGAGTTGCCCCACTCCATAGGTAAATGTTAATGTTTTGAGTACATGGAAGAAGAAAATATCCTTTTGCTTACCCTCTGAGCTTTTGCCAGTTCTTCTTTTAATCTTTCATAGCCCTTTTCTCTGACTTCCAAAACAGATGGACTTCGTAAACGGGACAGACTATCGGTACTCAACCCAAAAATGTCATCACTGCTATCACAAGCCTCTGTTATAGTGGCAGCCTGTAAAAATTCCCTCTCTGCATTACAGTTGTCCTTTCTTGCTGTTAATTTAGTTAAGCCAGCTGTGAATCCAGAGGTAGAACAAGGTGCTGGGTCTGCAACATGGATGCTGTAAAGGAGAGTTCAGAAAACATCAGGGTATGCTCAAACATAACTGGCACAGACACAAAGGTCTAGAACTCCACTATCCAATTGGATAGCCACTATATTTAATTAAAACCATGTCCTCCATCAAAGCTAACACATTTCAAGTCATTAACAGTGACTGTGGTTAATGGCTATCCTATAAGACAGCACAGAAACAGAACATTCCCATCATGCCAGAAAGTTCTACTGCACAGTGCTATGCTAGAACAAGAGTCAGCAAACTAATGCAAGTTAAATCCAGCCTGCTGCCTGTCTTTATAAGGCCCACAAGTCAAAAGCCATTTTCACATTTTTCAAATAGTTGGGAAAAAAATCAAAGTAATATTTTTGACAAGAGAAAATTATATGGAATTCAAAATTTGGTGTCCATTTATAGTTTTATTGGACCTTATTCATTTACATACTGTCCATGGCTGCTTTTGTACTTTAAAAGCAGAGTTGAATAGTTGCCACAGAAACTGCATTGGCCAGCAAAACCTAAAACATTCACTATCTGGCCTTTTACATAAAAAGTTTGCTGACCCCTGCCTGTGAACATTAACATGTATTGCTCTTCATGGACAAGTTTACATTATTCAAATTTTCTAAAATATGTAAATTTAAAACAAGATAACCAAGCAAACTGTCCATTTATTTAATACAACACTCCAAAAGAAGCAGCTTGATGATCTCCTACCTGATATTGGATATTTCTGCACAATTTAAATGTCTGGGGGATGAATACACAGGTTGTGTAGGAAGGTCAGAGACATCTAAGGCATTAGCCTGGACAGGGGCAGAGCATAAGGCTGAAGGATGTGGCCGGTAGATGACACTTGGTGAGGTAGTCTGCTCTTGAGTTCCTGATTCGTACACACCAAGAAGGTCTGGAGAAGTAGGTGAAGCAAGGTTTACTTCATGGAAGCCTTCCAAGGGGTCATTAGCCATAGCAAAAGCCTCATCATAAGATAACCTATAGTAAAACAAAAAGCAGTAATTATTTTGAGATAGTGACATTTAAAATTACATGAAGAGGTATAAATTACAAAATGTATTTAACAGTCCCTTATATAGTTGTATAAACTGAGAAAAGACAAAAATGAGTAATTTAATATTTATTTAAGTGACCTCAGAATATAAATATTGCAAAAGGTAACCAGTCTGATTTGAAATAAACTTGAAAGTGATAACTAGTTCTATTAAAGTGAGTACAATTAACAGGTGACAATGAGGAATGAATAACAATTTGCTTGATATTTTTAATTTTGCTATGATATGTGACGCTGGTAAGAGTAAGTCGAAGAGGCAGTAAAGATATATATACTTAGAATGAAATAACTATGTTCAACCATGTGTTTTGCTCTGCCTCATACTGGCTATGGGACTTTAGAGGAGTCAGCGCTTTTTTTCCTTTTGAAATAATTTCAAATTTACATACAAGTTGCAGAGCTCCTATATATCTTTCACCCAGATTATGAAGTTGTTAACATTTTAGAACCATTTGAGAACAGGTTTCAGACATGATGCCCATCACTAATACCTCTGTATATATATTCTAAGTACAAGGAGATTCTCCTAGCTAACTACAAAACCTTCACCAAAATCAGGAAGCTGACACTGATCAATATTACTATATAATCAGAAGGCCACAGTCGTTTCACTGACTGCCCCAACAATGTTTCATAGGCCCAGGATCCAATCTAGGATAACAAGTTATATTTTTCTAAACCTTCAATTTCTCTTCTGATGGGATGAGTATGGGGATAACATTATTTCCTCTCCAGGCTGCTGTGAGACTCAAAGAAGAAAACCCATATAAAGTACATAGTATTGTACTATGTATCTGGTATGTAGTATGGCTGCAGTAAACATGTTATCATAGTTAGCCATTAACAATAACATATGATTCAATTTCTCTGCAAGCAAAACCTATTTCATGAGCTAACAGAAAGAGAAATCAGGAAACAATTCCATTCACAATTGCATCAAAAAGAATAAAAAACTTAGGAATAAACCTAACCAAGGAAGTGAAAGACCTATACCATGAAAACTACAAGACACTCTTAAGAGAAATTAAAGAGGACACTAACAAATGGAAATTCATCCCATGTCTTGGCTAGGAAGAATTAATATTGTCAAAATGGCCATCCTGCCTAAGGCAATCTACAGATTCAGTGCAATCCCTATCAAAATACCAACAGCATTCTTCAACAAACTGGAACAAACAGTTCTAAAATTCATATGGAACCACCAAAGACCCCGAATAGCCAAAGCAATCCTGAAGGAAGAATAAAGCAAGGGGGATTTCGATTCCCAACTTCAAGCTCCACTACAAAGCCACAGTAATCAAGACAATTTGGTACTGTCACAAGAACAGACCCACAGACCAGTAGAACAGAATAGAGAGTCCAGATATTAATCCAAACATATGCGGTCAATTAATATATGAAAAAGGAGTCATGGATATACAATGGAGAAATGACAGCCTCTTCAACAGCTGGTGCTGGCAAAACTGGACAGTTACATGTAAGAGAATGAAACTGGATCATGTCTAACCCCATACACAAAATTAAATTTGAAATGGATCAAAGACCTGAATGTAAGTCATGAAACCATCAAACTCTTAGAAAAAAACATAGGCAAAAATCTCTTGGACATAAACATGAGCAACTTCTTCATGAATATATCTCCCCAGGCAAGGGAAACAAAAGCAAAAATGAACAAGTGGGACTATATATATCAAGCTGAGAAGCTTCTGTACAGCAAAGGATACCACCAATGGAACAAAAAAGACATCCTACAGAGTGGGAGAATATATTCATAAATGACATATCAGATAAAGGGTTGACATCCAAAATATATAAAGAGTCTATGCACCTCAACAAACAAAAAGCAAATAATCCAAGTAATAAATGGGCAGAGGACCTGAACAAACACTTCTCCAAAGAAGAAATTCAGATAGCCAACAGGCACATGAAAAGATGCTTCCCATCGCTAATTATCAGGGAAATGCAAATTAAAACCACAATGAGGTATCCCCTCACACCAGTTAGGATGGCCAACATAGAAAAGACTACAAACAACAAATGCTGGCAAGGATGCAGAGAAAGCAAAACCCTCCTACACTGCTGGTGGGAATGTAAATTAGTTCAACCATTGTGGAAAGCAGTATGGAGGTTCCTCAAAAAACTCAAAATAGAAATGCCATTTGACCCAGGAATTCCACTCCTAGGAATTTCCCCTAAGAATGCAGCAGCCCAGTTTGAAAAAGACAGATGCACCCCTATGTTTATTGCAGCACTATTTACAATAGCCAAGAAATGGAAGCAACCTAAGTGTCCATAAGTAGATGAATGGATGAAGAAGATGTGGTACATATACACAATGGATATTATTCAGCCATAAGAATAAAACAAATCCTACCATTTGCAACAACATGGATGGAGTTAGAGGGTATTATGCTCAGTGAAATAAGCCAGGTGGAGAAAGACAAGTACCAAATGATTTCACTCATATGTGGAATATAAGAATAAAGAAAAAACTGAAGGAGCAGCAGCAGACTCACAGAACCCAAGAATGGACTAACAGTTACCAAAGGGAAAGGGACTGGGGAGGATGGGTGGGCAGGGAGGGATAAGGGGGGGGGAAAAAGAAAGGGGCAATATGATTAGCATGTATAATGTGGGGGAGGCATGGGGAGGGCTGTGCAACACAGAGAAGACAAGTAGTGATTCTCTGGCATCTTAGTACGCTGATGGACAGTCACTATAATGGGGTATGTGGTGGGGGCTAATCTAGTAACCATAATGTTGCTCATGTAATTGTAGATTAATGATACCAAATAAAAAAAGAAGAAAAGAAAAAAGAATGCTTGTAAGTCAACAAATACAACCACGAAAAAGGACAGGAAAACAAATAAATATTGTCAATTTACAGGGGTGTGAAAAAAAAAACTATTTCATATAACTACTCAATTACACCACAAAATTTACATGAAAGCTAAAAAGTGTACCACTCATGTTTTTCACTTGAAGAATCTAAACGATATCTTATAAATCCTTTACTGCTTTCCCACTGTCTACAAAGTCCAAAATTAGTCTGAAAATCAAAACTTCTATGATCTGAACTCTCTTCCCACTTTTTTCCTTCCTACAATAGAGCTCTAATTATTCTGATACCTCCCCAGAACTTCCCCAAATTTCCAAAGAGAAGCACCAATATAACACATAATTTCTCCATAAAAAAATTCATTCATTAAACTGAAAAATTTTACTCTTTCCTATTCTTAATAGTAGAGAGAACCCCAACATCACAGAAGCCATATACAACAAACCCACAGTCAACATCATACTTAACAGCAAAAAGGTGAAAGATATCATCTAATATTGGGAAAAAAACAAGGATGCCCTCTCTCCCCACTTTTATTCAACATAGATCTGGAGGTCCTAGCCATGGCAATCATACAACACAAAGAAATAAAAGGCATCCAGATTGGTAAGAAATAAGTTAAACTATCACTGTTTGCAGATAACATGACATACAAAGAAAACCCTAAAGACTCCACCAAAAACTACTAGAACTAATAATTGAATTCAGCAAAGTTGCAGGATACAAAATTAATACACAGAAATCTGTTACATTCTTATATACAACAACAAATTAGCAGAAAGAGAACTCAGGAAAACAAGTCCGTTTACAACTGCATCAGAAATAAAAAGTACCTAGAAATAAACCTAACTAAGGAGGTAAAAGACCTATACCCTGAAAAATCAGACAGCGATAAATGGAAATCTATCCCATGTTCATGGATAGGAGGAATTAATATTGTCAAAATGGCCACCCTGCCCAAAGCAATCTACAGATTCATCGCAGTCCCTATCAAAATACCAACAGCATTCTTCAATGAACCAGAACAAATAATTCTAAAATTCATATGGAACCACAAAAGACCCTGAATAGCCAAAGCAATAGCCTGAGAAGGAGGAATAAAGCTGGGGGGAGTATGCTCTCTGACTTCAAGCTCTACTACAGAGCCACAGTAATCAAGACAATTTGGTACTGACACAAGAACAGAAACATAAACCAATGGAACAGACTAGAGAGCCCAGATATAAACCCATGCATATACAGTCAATTAATATACGATAAAGGAGCCATGACTACACAATGGAGAAAAGACAGTCTCTTCAGCAACTGATGTTGGGAAAACTGGACAGCAAGAGAATGAAACTGAATTATTGTCTAACTCCATACATAAAACTGAACTAGAAACAGATCAAAGATCTGAAGACATGAAACCATAAAACTCTGATAAGAAAACATGAGCAAAAATATCCTGAATATAAACATGAGCAACTTTTCCCTGAACACATCTCCTCAGGCAAGGAAAACAAAATAAAAATGAACAAGTGAGACTACATCAAACTAAAAAGCTTCTGTACAGCAAAGGACACCATCAGCAGAACAAAAGGCAGCCTACAGTACGGGAGAATATCTTCATAAATGATTTATCTGATAAAGGGTTAATATCCAAAATATATAAAGAACTCACAAGCCTCAACACAAATAATCTGATTAAAACATGGGTAGAGAATCTGAACAGACACTTCTCCAAAGAAGAAATACAGATGGCCAACAGGCACATGAAAAGATGCTCCACATCACTAATCATCAAGGACATGCTGATCATCAGGGAAATGAAAATTAAAACCACAATGAGATATCACCCTATACCAGTTAGGATGGCCAGCATCAAACAGACAAGAAATAACAAATGTTGATTAGGATGTGGAGAAAGGGGAACCTTCCTACACCATTGGTGGGAATGCAAATGGGTTCGATCATTGTGGAAAACAATTATGGAGGTTCCTAAAATACTAATAATAGAAACACCATTTGGCCCAGTCATTCCATTCCTAGGAATTTATCTGAAGAAAACAAGACTCGATTTGAAAAGACATAAGCACCCCTGTGTTTATTACTGCACTATTTACAATAGCCAAGATACGGAAGCAACGCAAGTGTCCATCATTAGATGAATGGATAAAGATGAAGTGGTACATATACACAATGTATTTTATTCAGCCGTAAAAAGAAAAGAAATTTGCAAGAACATGGATGGATCTAGAGGGTATTATGCTCAGTGAAATAAGCCAGGTGAAGAAAGACAAATACCAAATGATTTCACTCATTTGTGGAGTATAAAAACAAAGTAAACAGAAGGAACAAAATAGCTGCAGACTCATAGACACCAAGAAGGGACTAGTGGTTACCAAGGAGGAAGGTGCGTTAAGGAGGGAGGGAGAAGGGAATTAAGGGGTACTATAATTTACAATCACAATATAGGTAGGTCATAGGGAAGACAGTACAGCATGGAGAAGACAAGTAATGACTCTGTAACATCTTACTATGTTGATAGACACTGACTACAATGTAGGGAGTGAGGACTTGATAATATGGGTGAATGGTGAAAGCACTGTGTTGTTTATGTGAAACTATCATAAGTTTGTATGTCAATGATACTTTAATAAAAAAAAGTAGAGAATAAAGGCTGCAGTTAAATTGTGAAAAAAGCATGTTGATAAATAATTATATACTCTCTTAAAGCACAGATAACTACATGTCCCAGACCTTTGATATGAACAATCAAAACTGTAACTGTTAAATCTACAAATACCAAATTTCAAATCCAATCAGTTTTCTTTATTGTACCAAATAGCAATTTCAGTTCTCAAATTGAAACTAACCTTTGTTTTTTCACCCAAAATACTATACTAACAAGGAATCTAAAATGTTTAATACTCAATTTACAACTGACCTCTCTACATCTTAAGAGGTTCATTGCACCACAAAGTGTGAAAGCATTTCCATTTCTGGAAATGCAAAATGGTACAAATCCTATGGAGGAGAATTTGACAATATCTAGCAAAAGGACATATTCATTAAACCTCTGACCCAGCAGGCCCACATTGAGGGCTTTATTCCAAAGTTAAACAGGCAAAATAAGAAAGACATATGCATATGGCTAACAGCATTATCAAAAGACTGACAAAGTCTTGTAACAGCAAAAGGCTGATCAAATGAACTCATGTACATCCTCATAATGAAGCACTATGCAGCTGTAAAAAGAAATGAATAACATCTACACACTGCTATGAAGTGATCTCAAGGATATACTGACAAGCTAAAAAAACAAGATACATAACTGTATAGTAAGCTACCTTTGTTTAAAGAATACAAATTTTTATATGTATATGTAACATATATATGTATTTGTCTGTATGTATACTTATATTTTAGAAGTGGAAAGCTGAACAAAAAGCTAACAAAAACGGTTACTATAGAAAGAAGATGAGAACAGGAAGAGGGGGACAGGCATGGTAGCTAGATTTTTCCAAATGCACCTTGCCTTGCAGATTTGAGTTTGCATTTGGAACCATGTAACTGATAGAACAAAATTAATTTTAAAAAGAATCTCTAAAAATGAAACAAACAAACCCAGCTACATACTGAGATTATAGCTTAACCATGCCAAAAAGAGCTACTGCAAGTGATTTTAAAACATCCCTAGTGGAACATATTCTAATGACAAAAGTAGTGAAAAAATTAATAAAGTATTTCCAGTAATCGTATTAGTAATAAAGTTAATATTGTTTTCTAAAACTATTACATACATACAATAAGATTAAGCAAGTAAGTTACTCTGCTAACGTCATTTGGAACTAAGATTTTCAGCATATGGGAAGAGATACAAACAAAGTCAAATAAGAAATATCAGAAAGAAAAATTCTATTAAAAAATTCCTACCTTTATGCACTGAGAAGGTGTAACAACAGTAACTGACTCGGGAGCAATGAGTACTCCTTGTGCCCAGAGTCATACCATTTCCTACAAAAAAAGAAAAAGGGCTCCTTGGAGAAATGGCTGCTGCTGGCCTCAGGCAGTAATGTACAGATGGACCCTGGAACCCTGCATTATATCAGGACGCAGAAAGCTGTTGGAGACAACGACACTGGAGTGGTATCAGAAGGACTCCCCCTAACCAAAGGTGGGACAATATGCACTTCAAAAGGGGTAGTATCTTTAAAGAAGTGAAACAAAAGTATTTTTAAATCCACGAATTTATGATGATTACTATAAAGAAAACAGAAACAAGATCTCACCAGTCCCCTCTGATTGGTGCTATGGAACCAATTCATTATTTTGAAAACTGGTAAAATAAAGGAAAGAATCAGGTTTTTATCCTGACTTTCCTGGACATCAGAGAACTAAACATTTTAGGTGGAAAAGTTATTTTTAAAAGATCCCACTTAATATAACTTTGCGATAATAATGAAAGAATGGTCCTACACCAACACTTATCAGTAACTATTAAAACCCATTAATAAAAAGCTATCTGGGAACTTTACTGTTACTGAATCAGAATTCAAGTACCTGAACTTATTAAAACATCTTATCCCAAAAAGCAAAAATACCAGATATTATAAAATTCTGTACTAAAATAGGAAATGAACACCACCACCATCCATGAGGCATTCTTGCCCCTAAGGAAAAAAAAAAGGACCCCACGCCAACAAAGCTTCTAAGTCTTCATCAGTTTATAAGAAATACAGAGAAGAAACATATTAAATAACAGAATGAGAGGAAAGCAGCAAAATCCAGACTTTGGAAAACTCCACTAGACAAACTTGACTAGGCACACATTAGTCCTGCAGTTTGACAGGAGCAGAATTTAAACCTACCTCTTTTGAGGTTTGCATCTTATGTTTCTTCAATAAATAAACCAGAGAAAAAGAAGGAGTTGAAGGTTTAACAGCAGACTTAATAGATGTAACTACAATGTGTGGCCCTTTCTGGATTCTTATTTGAAGAAACCAATTATAAAAACAAATATTACGAGATGACTAAGAAAACTTGAACACTGCATATTAGTGGTATTACTATGAATTCTTGTGAAGTTTTAGAGATAATGGTAAGTTTATATTAAGAAGTGCTTATGTTTTAGAGATATACACTTAAGTATTTATAGATGAAATAAGATTACTTGGATTTGCTTTAAAATAACGCAGGGGGGAGGAATGGAATGGGGAGCTAAGCCATCCGATTACTAGTCCCAATCACACAGAGGGCAGTTTCTCCTACAATAGCAGCTAATATTTATTGGGCACTCACTAAATATCAGGTTCCAGTACATTTTTAAATTGAGGAAACCAGTTTAGGATAGCCAGGACTAAGACCTATGTCTGTCAGACTCCAGAGTCCAAATTTTAACCACCATGACACACTACCACCATAGAACTGCCTTGCCAGTCCACTGTTATACCAATTGAGTAAAAATGTTTCTCCTTACACTGAATTAAAATCCATTACCAATGCAATACCCTCCTTATTTTTCCTATATACAAATATAATATTTCAGTTATTCTTTCAACAAGTATTTTGAGGACCTACCATGTTCCCGGTTCTGGGGAAAGAAAATGAAAAATCATCTCTGCTTCCATATAGTCTCAATAAAGCAGGAGAGACTGACAAGTAGAGACAATAATACAGTGTGATAAACACAACAGAAGATGCAAAGGGATCCAAGAGACTACTCAGGAGGGGCAAAGAAATCAAAGAAAGGCCTTCCAGGAAAAGCAAAGCCAAAGACAAGACCGAAAACACAAGTAGGAAATGATGAGAAAGAGCACTTGGAAGGGCTTGGCAGGTGTGAAAGCAAAGCTTTTTTGGGAAACACATAGATTTCATAAACTGGAGTACAGGCAGTGAACACAGAGGCAAGCCTCAAAGAGAGGCAGGTTTAAATCCTATTCCTGTCAAATTATTGGGCTGATCAGTGCTTACATTCTCTCATCTGGAAATCCGTGCCTACCTTTTCTACCTTGCAGGCTGAGAATTAAGGAAATAATGCATACAGCACTTAAACAGCACCTCTGAGCAGTGCTCTTACCTACAATGTTTCCATTCCAAGGGATACATTTCAACATCATTTAAATTCAAGTCACTTCTGAGATTATTTTAAGATTAAATTTAGTCCCCTTTTCAAGCATATGAAATGTCCATAAAAGAATCACATTGGTCTGAGAATCTTTTACTCTTAAAAATATATGAAAGCTTTTAAGATTTATCTTACAGTCAAAGTTGTCCTACGAGTAAAATAAATGACTATTTTAAACAGTGGTATTCTTTACTTTTAGGTTTGAGTTAGTAACTCAAACAAACTAATTTCAATTGGAGAATATTCCAATTTATAAACTGAACTTGTCAAGGATCGCAGCCAAAGTGTGAAAAAGTAGAACGAATTAAATTCTCATGTGTGAATTACCAGCATAGCTCAGTTCACTTTATTATTACTCAGTTCCAAGAAGTAAAGCTGACTTTCAGTCATAAGGGAAAGTTCATCAAACAGTTTACTTCTGATCACCCATATATACTTCACACCATTCCTTCTTTCCTGAAGTCATTATCAGCACAGCAAAAACAGCAGCCAACATCAGTTAACTGTGTGCCAGATGCTGTTGCAACTAACTACTGTTGTTATGTGACTTTCACATGTATTAACTCATTTAATAATGTCGAGAAAAATCCTAATAACTTGCTTTAAAAATTATTTTTTCTAATTAAAATGAGGTTTCTATTTGAGAACAAAAGGCATTCTAGGACAGCTCAAGAAATTAAGACAAATTGCTAGTATAATATCTTCAACATCTGAAGGACGTGGAAAAATTAAAATACTTAATTTAAATGAATCAAGGAACTCAACTTCTATCAGTAGTCTAAAAGAATAAAATCTATTTTATGACAGAAAGCACATTCCCTTTAACTTATCTTGACAAGTGGGAAAGACAGGATTTATGAGTAGAAAAAGACATTTTAAAGCTATGATTCTTGTTTTTTCCTTATTAATTTAATATCTGGAAATTAAATAATTTTAATTCCAGATTTATTAAACCTCTTCAAAGCACATGCTTCGGAAAGTAAAATCATTTCCAGCACAGGAGGTTATATGCATCACAGCAGAGTAGAAATACCTGTACTGAAGGTTCTAGTTTTGACCAAGTTCTGAGTTGTACCTCCAAACTTGTGCACATCATTAAACTTCTCTAAGCCTAGACATCTTCATCTAATTAGTGCTAGAATTCGACCCAGTGATCTTGGCTGTGAAGTGGTGAATGTACCTGTCTTAGAAGGAGGACCAGGGGTTGAATTCCAATGGGAAGAATTAACCAGTATTTGCTACCTCACCAAAAAGCTTATTATACTCTGGTATTAGGCTCAGATCCTAGCTGGACCAGTTACTAATAATGTGACCTTAGAGTTCTAAGTTTCAGTCTCTCGTGTGATAAATGAGGATATTAACTGTACCGATCTCATAAGGTTGCCATGAGAATTAAGTCAGACAATAATAAAGAGCTTAGTACCATACCTGCCACTTACCATTAAAATTAGTTATTACTAAGTATAATGATCTCTAAGGTATTTCCTAATACTTGCCAAATATTTTTGTCACACTGTATCAGCACAAACATCATCAAAGACAAATAACACAATAATGTACATTCTGTATGTGTGACATATACACATATTATATACATTATTCTAGTTATTCCTCATGCATCCCATTGACATGTAAAATCTCTACAGATAAACTAAGGCTCAAAGACATTAATTCTGTCAAGGTCAAACAGTCAATAAATAACAGAGCTAGGATTCAAACTCTGGTGTGAGCGACTTCAACTCCTGACTCAACTAATTCTAAGAATCTCATAATAGGTAAAATTGATTTTGTCGGAGAAGTAAGACTCTGATAAAGGTTAGATCAACACAGAGGCTCTCTAGGACAGGTCTCACCCAACAAGTAAAGATAAGCAATCTAAACAGAAAAATACTCCTTGATCTCTGACCTGTCTCATTCAGGAAAACTACAGTTTCTGTAGCGCACAAGTAATGAATGAGACTCTGCTGTTGCTCTGTGTGCTTTCTCTTCTTTTTCTTTACCCTTACATTCTCTTTGCTATCATCATTTCCTCCTCTCTTTTGCTGCTCTGCTGGGATTTAAAATACCTTTTCGGCTGCTATAGGACTTGGGGTGAAAAAAAGTATACAAATAAAAATAAACAGAAGCTGGGTTTTATCACAGCACCTTATTCTTATATATTCAAAAAAGTGTGCATACTTGATACTTAGGAATTTATGTTGATTTTTTCAAGTGTAAAACAGTATTGTCACTAACTGCCTTTACCTTTTAGAAATATATACTGAATATTTACAGATGAAATTGTGCAATGTGCAATGCCTGAAATTTGCTCAAAATAATACAGAAGCAGATGGGCAGGACTGACTGTTGATGGCTTTGGGGCTAGATGATGGGAACTCTGAGAGTCATTAAACTTTCTGTCTACTTACTTTATTTGAAATTCTCCATAATTAGAAAGCTTTGAGATTTATTCAAATACTATATAAAGGGGGAATAAAAAGACCAAAAAGTATACATTTATGTATGTGTGTATATATATATATATGTAAATATGTATGTAAAATCATTTTCTCATTAACTTTCACATTATTTTAATTGGTTTTCCAAGCTAATATTTTGTGACAAAAAAAATTCACATTTACATTTTAAGTAGCAGTCTATGAGTGTGGATTTAATTAAGAACCCAAGGGAAAAGTTAGTCAGATGGTCAATCAAGCTACACAGTCTTCCCACTCTTAATAAAACAGACCACATACTAATTTCTATTTACTAATTCCACAGGATGTATCCCCTGACACAGAGATGTTAGTTATTGCACGTTTTAAATTAAGGATTTTCAGAAAATGTGCAGAACTTATCTTGGTTACTACAATTTTAATTACAAATCCTTGGAACAGAAAGAAAAAAAAAGCACTTTCCAAGTTTCATTTTCTTAATAGTGGAAGCCTCCTTATTTTACATATGCAAGACTATTATGTCAACTAAAGTTTCAGTAGGCACTGAAGTATATACTGTTTGGACAAATAAATAAATAATAAGAGTCTTTAGAAAGGGAATGAATAGCAAAGCAGTGCGGAGTAGAGACAAAGATAACCTGATCGCAGGTTATCTTTTTTTAAAAACAGAGATAAAACAGTAAGTACCTTGAGTGTCAAGACAGGAGAAACTGAGTTTTTTAAGTTTGGGGAAACCTGAGTATTTTATCAAACTAGCTTCAGTAAACCTTTCTAATTCAGATTCTGTTAATAGGTAGCTGTGTGAATTCAGGCAAACTTTCTCTGAGCCTAAATTTAAACCTCTACAGTGGTGGTGAGATTATCTCCCCCGCCTACATTTAAGAACATCTAATGACTTAACTGTCAATGTAAACACCCTTACAGATTGTAAAGCACGACATAAATGAATGGCACTTGTAAAGATCTAAGGAATAAATGATCAGAAAATAACAAGAGCCTAGAAAAGGGTTCATCTTACAACCAGAAGAGATCCTTACTTATCTGAGGGACAAGGGGAGAAAGGGGAGAACTAGTCTTTCTGAGGTATAGAGTTCCCCAAGGGGAAGTTAATTAATGCACATTTACTACTGTTTTTGAACTTATTTCAGTTGTTCTTTCACACTTTATCCTGATCTGTCAATCAGGTGCCCCAAAACAAATATTCAGTACTATTCTCTGGACACATCAAATTACAATCCACTCATCTGACTGGTTCTAAGCTATCATCCATGTACTCCTTTATAGTTCTAGGGCTCCCACATTCCTGCGCAGTTTCTTTGTATTAAATTGTCATTCAGCTTATATATGTATATGTATTCTCTACATATACATAATGGGAATATATCTACTCCCATTATGCTTATATATACAACCCTGTTGTTAACCACAAGCAAAAATCTCATAAACCCGAACTATTACACTAATTTTCATTCTTTTTCCACTAAGTAATCTTAGCTTATGGCTTTAGCTATTTAATTTTTTGTGTTGCCAATATTCTAAGATAAATTAAGATTTCCACTTTTTTCTTATGATTAGATAGTTTATGAAACCACCTCATTTGGTTCTAAGTTGAAAGGGAAAGCAGGAGGGAAAAATCAAGATAGCAAGTTAATGCTGCCAGAGGAAGCTCTTTCCCTTTCCTTAATCCCTAGTCCCCTCAATTCATTTGAACACTCATTTCCATTTCTACCACTAGATCAATTTCAACACATCCTACCATTCCTCTACTGATCATCCATCACCAAACACAGTGCAGCACCTTCTGGGTTCTAGGCCCGATGCTAAAGCTGCAGGATAGGATGGCTTAAGCCCTAACCTGAAAGCACATGTACACTAGCAGAAGAGACCGGACTGTCAACTCTTACCAGTATAATGTAAGTAACAAAATTAATAAATGCCAGAAGAGGCATGCACCAGGTGCTTTGCAAGCACACAAGAAAAAAGGGTACTACCTTTCAAAGCTAAGGACAGCAGTACAGAAATGGGCAAACTAGCTAGAAAGGATTTTTCAAAAACTCAAGATATATATTTTTTAGGGTATCAAGTATATTTAAGTAATTAATTAAGCAACTAATTTGCTACCCTTTGTTGAACTGCATTTTAACCAGAGCTATATAGGACAAAGGTTTAGTCTGAAAAAGTGTACTCCCCAGAATATCAGCAAAACTTTCTCTCATTACAACACAAAATCTCTACACACTGCTGGTCTGTCCTTCCTCCCCACTTTCCAACTGTGCTCGCACTGTGTCTTATTTGGCATTCATTAGGATCACAACAATGTATATGTGTCAAAAGTGCCTTCTAAATTCTGAGGAACTTCTAAAAATACAAAAATGATTTATGCAGCCTACTTCCATGCTCCTTACATATACTTCTTTAACCCCCACTGTGACTTGCAGAGTAGATGCTCAATGAATATTTGATTTAAAAATCTCTGGTGACACATAGAGAATTGCTTATTACACTAATATTAAGTATCTCATAAAACAATTCTTCAGCTTTACAACCTACACACAAAGTAGTAGGGTATCTTGTAGTTAAGAACATGGACACTAAAACTGCCTGACTAGTAGTCCTGTCACTTAATTAGCCCTCTGACCTTAAGCAAACTACATAAGCCCTCAGTGTCTCAGCCTTCTCAACTATAAAATAGGACAAAGCATTACTGAACTACTAGGTCACTGTGAAGGTAAATGAGTTGGTGCAGTGCTTAGACCAGAACCTGATACATGGTGAGCTCTATAGACTCAATTGTGACATAGCTGCATTGATGTTATCGCCATCATCAGAAAACTTGGTAAAACAGTAGTTTCACATCAGTGCACACATACCTTTGTGAACCAAAGTGGATCTCTTTACCATAACTCTTCGTGTGTTCTGCTTCCCCAAAACAAATGATAGTAACACCTTTCATCTATGTGTCTCCTTATAATAACAAAGCTCTTTTACAGAAGGTGCAGACCAGGAACAGAAGGTAGAAGCATTTTAAGAGTTCCATTTTGGACAGTCACACTCAGTTGTTAACCTCAACAACTAAGTTACCATAGGCAAGCTATTTTACTTCTCTGAGCCTCAAGTTCCTGATTTGTAGAATTCAGTAACACCAAATATATCCCAGGAATCAAGGACAGGAAAGAGTCAAGGCACCTAAAGCAACAGCACAGTGCATGGTACACTGTAAGCTGATGTCTGTTCCTCTTCCCCACCCCCCACATCCCATTTAAGTACCATCTCACTAATACAAAATCCCTATAAGGCTGAACCATATTAAACACAGTTCTATGGTTTGACATGATACTGTATCTATTTACAAATGGAGGAAATAAGCTTAGAAAGATTAAAGGATTTACTCAAGGTCATATACATGGTAAGTAATGGAACTAAAACTTTACCAAACATATTGATAATTTGTCATTTGGCCTGCTTTCTAATTGGTTCAGTGAGTCCTGCTCAGGAAGGGAGAAAAATGGGTATACTAGCAACAATAAAAATATAAAACTACTGTTACCTACAAGTTTTTGTTCTGCCATATTAAAAAATGATGGGAACCTACATTTCTAACCTCTCAACTTTAAAAGATATTTGTAGAGTGTCTATGTGTACACTGAGGGGTGACTGAGGGTTTAGGAAAAATTAGAGGAAACAATATTAAAGGAATCATATGTATAACTATACTAATTTAAAAAGTACAATTGGATCTAATTAAAAATCCTACTAACTATAAACTCCACAAGCAGCTGAACATCAAATATCCATCCTGGTGGAAGGTTAGAGGTATTCAGTACCATAGGTTAGCTGACTGCCAAACACCAGGAAGAGTTAAATTCCTATACATTCCATAAGGGCTTTAGGATTAGATCACACAAACCATATTTGAGATACAATGTCTAAACATGAAAAGTTCTATCAAAATTCACATTTACTAGTAAGTAAATAACAAATGTTAACAGAACAAGGCCCCATAAAACTGTTGGAATATTTAACAATATCAAATATTTACTATGATTGGTCTACAAAGGTATTCTGGCTCTTTTTGATTTTTCGTTCACCATTAGACAAACTGTATGAACAGCAAAATGAGACTGAGGATAATGAACAGAAACTGGGTCTTTCAACAGATTTACAATAGAATAACTTTGTTTTAATCCTTTTATCGGCCTCTCGTCCAATTATGTAATCATTCCACGGCCAAAGATTACACTGCTCTTTTCATATACTGAAAGGAAGGAGTTGGAGGGTGAAACTAGAGTGAAACAGGTAGCCTCGGTATACGCTACATTTCTACCAAACTAAATTGTCTCTCAAGAATCAGTACCAGCTCAGCACTCTTAATATTTAAGATCTTAGCCTTTAGTCATTACGGACTGTTTTAAACCCCACAACTGGTAACTCTTCACGGGCTGCAGATTTCACCTAACATCATCACTTCTAGAGTCCATTAAAGCTCGCTTTTCCCGGGCGGACGGAGCGAGGTGTCAACGCTGGAAGGGTAGTGTAATTACAATTATGTCTGTGCAGCTCTTCTCAACTCCCTCAAGTCTCCTGAGCTGCCTCCTAGGCGCGACTCCGCGCGCTGGCTCCTGCTCACCAGGTTTCACCGAAACCTCCCGAGGGTGACCTCGACGCCTCGGCATGCATCCTCGCTCATCCTTTACTAAGACGCCCGGCCCAAACCCACTGCTTCACCCCACTCCAGGGTCCGCGCTGCGCAGGGCTGCAGACTTGCTCGCAAACTTCGACCCCTCCAACCCCCCGCGACCCCGGACCCCGGCCGCGCACGCCCCGCCGACAGGTAACCACGCTTCGGCCTCACAGTCTCGGGCGCTCGGGCCGCGCAGTTAATGAGTGACGCGCCCGTGTCCTGGGGCCGGGGGTGGAGTCACCGCCCCCCAGCGGCCCCAGAAGGCGCCCAGATACCCTGAGGCGCCGAGCCCCTGCCGCCGCCTCCGCTGGGGTTCGGGAGCCGAGAGGCGGAAGCGCGTTCGCCCGGGCTGGTCCCCGCAAGCCGCGCCCGCCGCGCACCTGCACCTGCTACGGCCGCCCCTCCAGGCCCGCTTGTGGGAGGCGAGCGCCCGGGCGCCACCGGGGGCGGTGCTCCTGCCCCAGGCCTCTCCCTCCCGCGGCAGCACTCACCTGCCCGACCTCCCGCAGCTGCTGCCCGCTTTCAGGGGCGCTCGCAGAGCGGCACAGAGCGCTTTCCGAAGCAGCGAAAGGCGGAGGACGGCGAACCGACGCCACTACACTCCGCCGCGGCGGGGGTGGGGGGGCCGGGCCGGGCCTGGGGGCGGGGCCTGGGGCCGAAGAGCCGACGCGCTCTCACGCCCCCTGGCGCTCGGTGGGGGCTCATCGCAGTCTCCCGAGCGCGAGCCCCAGTTGTCCCCGTAGGCGGTTTCCCTGGGAATCAGAGCGAGCAAGGGCTGAACGGTGTTTCCCTGGGCGCGACCGGCGGCCTCGGGTTACCGTCGATGGTGTTGGGCTCTCCAGAAGTCGGAAAATGAAACTTGTGAGTTGAGGACTGCTGGAACCAACCTGAGACTCGACATCCATGTATACGTTACAGTGTCCAAGCGGCCGAGGATGGGAGGAAGTCGGATAGAATCCGGATCCCACCGGTCCAGCAGCTGCTAGAACATTCGAGAATGTTTCTGTTCCTGCCTTCTCTCATCTTTTGTGTTAACTCTTTTATCAAACTTACACCCCACATTAGGTCCTCAAAGTAGGAAAAGTGGAAATACAGAACCAAGCTCCCAAAATCTGATGGAAAGAGGCAACCACCATATGTGTCTTCATGTTTAGTAAAAGATACATGCAATTTATGGATACACATATTGAACAGAACCATCATTCTGTATATGGATTATATCTATTAGAGGCAGTAAAGAAGAGGAGGTTGTGTCTGACTGTAGAAATCAGAATTTTGGGGATTGAATCCATCAACTATCAGCTCTGTGACTTTAGGTAGGCATCTCTAATAGTCCCAATTCTCTCATCAGTAAACAGGGATGATAAAAGTATCTACCTCACTAACTCATTGAGAGACTAAACGGTTTAATACATGTAAAGGAGTATACTGCATTATGCAGAGTGCCTAATGAATATTACTTATTATTAATGTTATCTGCCAGATATAGAATCCAAACAGAAACCCAGAAAGTCATTATTTACTCTTTTGTACCCCATCTCCAATATAGCAAGTCCAATCCATTCTAATTCCCAAATAATTGATAAATCTATCCCAACTCATGTTCACTGTCATTAGATATGACCTTCCTCATCAATGAACTCCTAACTATTGTTCCTTAGATGATCTCATTCATTTTATGTCAGGAATAAATGCCATTCATTTGTCAAACATTTGCTGGGTTCCATCTTGTGCCTACTGCTGGAAATGGAAACAAAGCATCACACACAATCTCTACCACAAAGACTCAAATATAGGGAGGGAGACAAGTATTGATAACAACTAAATGGAATGAATAAGAAAAACATTCAGCAACTACTTGGTTCTCCAGTCTTGGCATACTCCCTCATATATGCTGTCTTTACATAGGTTGCTCCTTTTTCTGTTACTGTGACGCTCCACCTTTTCCTTACCTACCTAATTCCTGTTTAGCCTTCATCATTCAGCCCAGGTAGCCATTCCATTGTGAACCACTCCCTGTTGCTTGCCACCCAGCTGTGCCCCCCCCCCTATGGGTTATGTGCCCTTACCTGTGCTCCCATTGGATCTAGCCTCTTTCTAGCACTTATCACATGCATGTTAATTGTAGTTCTGTCTATTTTTCTGCTTGTTATGAGCTTCTTGAGTGTAGGCACAAGGCCCCACATATAATAGGTCTGGCTCAATAAATGCAGATGAGTGAATGACATAGATGCAGATGCACTATCTTGGTACATAAATGTTTAAAGGACAGGCCCTAGGCTTTGTTCTCCATAGGACTCAAGACATTGTGCATCTATAGGAAATAGTAAGCAATAGCCACATGCCTGAGTCCCACGTTGGTCCATTTGCAAATCACCTATCATCCATGAGGGTCTTTAGAACGTACTTAGAGATGTTTCCTCTCACACATTTTGAGCACAGTTTGAGAATGAGAAGAGCAACATGAGTAGTTACTTATAATGACACTTGAGTGTCCTTGCAGTGCAGATACCAAGATACAGAGTGGAGATTCCCAGAACTCCAGATTAGATAGGAAGCTATGAGATAGTGAGATCCTGTACTGCAATAAAACAGGGAAGGAGAAACATTTCAAAGGATGAATTTGTTTAGTGCAGTATGTGATTAGATATCCTTTCTCCCTCTCTCCTCATGTTCAGCATCTATTATATCTTTTTGAGATCAGAACGATAATTTTATTGGGAGAAGTCCTCTCCCACAATGTTCAAGCCATACGATTCAAGTGGAAATGAATTCCCTTCCCCTTTAGGGGTGAGCATGTAAGCCAGGCTTAAGCAAACAATCCTCCTGGTCTCTGTGATGCGTTCATGATAAACAAATAACTCAAGCAAGGCCAATGTAAGCCTGAGGCTGCTGGCAGGGATTTTCCCAGCCAACGCAGAATATGGCTGAGAATGGAACTAAGGAGAGAAGGCAGATCTGAGAGAGCAGATAACCAAATGTGAGTCCTGATGGCATTATTTGACTTCTTGGATCAAGCTGTGACTGAAGCTGGGGACCCAGAACTTTTTATGTACTTGAGTCAGTAATTTTCTCTTTGCCAGTTTGTGTTGGGTTTTCTGCCACTTGCAACTAAATACACAGAAATGAAGGTGAAGAGAGTGTTATCAAACCTGTAAAGGCATCAGTGATCATTCCAAGCTCTAAAACCAGTACCATCTATGTGTGTCTTACATAGTATTAATGGACTTGGCTCTGATAAATTTTATCTGCTCAAAAGTGAAATCTACATTCAAAGAGAAGATTTTGGTATAATTGGAAAAGTAATTACAGGGTCATAAAATACTGGAGCTGGAAGAGAGCTTTAAGTCATCTCTCCTCACCACCCATGTTACAAAAGAGGAAACTGGGTCTGAGGAAAATAAAGTGATTTATACAGTCACAGAAATTATATGTGCTAATCTTGAACCCAGATCTTTGGAATACTAGTCTGTATATTTCCATTCTGTCATTCTGACACTTCAAAACATCTAAAAATGTCTCCAAATACATTTGAAATAGTATAATACAAATACAGACAGCTTCCCATGAAGGAATTCATTTGGAAGTACAACTCTGTAAGGACAATATTCATTCTGAAAGCATGGGAGTGCCAGGAATATTCACCATATCTTTGTGAGGATAGATGGTCTTTCTGTACAATGTTGCTGTGACTCATGCCATTGTATATTAAGTGAAACCAACTATGCTTTGTTGAACTACCAATAAGTGGACCTGGATAGATACCTCATGAAAAGCAACCCTGTGTGGTTAGATTGCATATGAAGAAGGTCACCCTTCTGAAGTGGCAGGAAGCTCTGCACAACAGAGGTCCTCTATTATGTTGAGCAAAATCAACCCAGTCAGTTCCCCTCTCTTTGAATATAGGAATGCTAAGTGTGCACGAAGAGGGTGGTCATTCAAGCACCACTGGTAACCTGACTTAAGATAAACTATCCTTCATAGACTTATTAGTCATCCTCATTACAGAAATACTGGGACCCGCATATCCTGTAATTTGTAGTAATCCCTGTATCTTTGCAATAATTCTTTTATGCATTCATTTCCTAATTGATTGAGTATGCCTTACATGCCAAGTGCTGGTTTAGATCCTGGGAATATGATAGAATAAAACAATGTCCCTGCCTTTACAGCTCTTACATTCTATAGAGAAGACAGTCAATACAGGAATAGATCCATGATATAATGTTAAGTAATGATGCATGCTATCATGAAGAAAAATAAAGTGGGATTCAATAGTTCATGAGAACTTAATTGTGTGGCTGAACATGGTTTTAAGAGAGGTTTGGAAATGTGGTCTCTAGGCCGGATGTCATCTGCCCAGGAAGGAGGGGGAACTAGCAGAAGGCCACAAAGAATGCTCAGGGCAGAACAAGGGGAGAAGTTACATTGTGATGTATGTAACGCATTCACAGATTAACAAACAATCCACCCTACATTAAAATGACTCTCAGGGAGTTCTTGCCTGGTCAGTCATGTAAATGCATAGATAACTTGTAATTCCTGGGTCACTTTTGGGGACTCTAAAAGTTATCATCTACTAAGCTTTGCCTATTTTGATGTTGCCACTAATCAGTATTGATTGTGTATCATGAGTGTGCTAAATGCCACTCACAGAATATTTCTGAGATAGAAAAAAAAAAGTTTCTGCATCCTCTAAGGAAAATCCCTGCCTCAGTACCTTCTCTATTGCTATATGTTATCTCAGCCAATCTTATTTGTAAAACCAGTATCTATTCTATTACATATACCAAGTGTTCTCACACAAATATACATGCCCTTATAAATCAGTCAGTTATTATTATCAAGTGGGTACCAACAAAGTGCAGTTAGTGAACCACTAGCACCAGAATCACCCGAGGTGCTTATTTAACTCAACACTATAGTTAGAAGCTCTGAGGTTTAGGCCAAACTACTGAGGTTTGTGACAAACATTGGAAGCAATTCTTACAGTACTAAAGTTCAAGAATCAACAAGTAACAGATACATAGACAGTGAAAGAATACAAAAAAGGCCCCCAACTATAATCTTGTTGGGATAACATAAAAGATTTTTAAACTAGACTCTAGAGAAACTTCCAGAACTAAAATGGTGGAATAAATATAGTATCCTCTATTCCTCCTCCTCTCAGAAATTACCCAGAAGCAAGGATAATGACACACAGCAATGAAAAATCCATTTTCACTGAACACAGGATACCCCTGAAACCTTGACTACGATAGATGCTGAAGTACAGTGAAGAGCAGGAAGACTCTGAAAAAAGATGTCAATGGCTCAGTAAATCTGTGGCGTCTTATTACTGATGGACAGTGACTGCATTGGGGTATGGGTGGGGACTTGATAATATGGGTAAATGTAGTAACTGCATTGTTGTTTCAGTTGAAACCTTCATAAGAGTGTATATCAATAATATCTAAATAAAAAAATTTTTAAAAAAAGATGTCAATGGCTATAGATCTTAGAAAACATCAACAAGGCACACTTCACACAATTCAGTGACTTACCTAAGGGGTAAACCCAACCATCCTTCATTTGAAGCTAGGGAATCAAGTTTATGGACTGGCAGCAGGGCCTCCCC